TCACGATAATGTCAAAATGTCAGAATCAGAAATGATTAAAAAATGACTTTTAATAATCATTTTGGAATCATTTTGACATCATTTTGATATCATAATGTATACTTGTGGTTCTGCTTGGATAACGTTTCCGAACGCAGCCTAATATATCTCTCGCTGAAGCTCTTGCGTATATTTTTTACAAAATAGAAAAAAAAAGAAAAAGAAGAATCGAAATGTTCGGCACGGTCATCCGGAGTTTATCGCGTGGCAGGGCACGGCGGGACACGGGTTCGCGATCGCGCGAACACGCGGCGTCCAACGCGCGTTGCACGATGTCGAAAGGGTCGAAACGATCGGATCGGTGCCTACCACTATTTGTACAGACACCGGGGATACCAGGAAACACACGAAAACACAGAATTATAGTATGAAGTACTATACGAAGTTACACGAAGTACCACAGATCCAAACAGAGCACAAGTCATCATGACACCAAAATGACGTCAAAATGATTCTAAAATGACTACTATTATACTCAAGGAACATACCTAAGCAGAACAAGTCATCATGATATCAAAATTATTCCGAAATGATCATTATGAGTCATTTTTCAATTTCATTTCCGATTAATTTGAACGTACCATTTTGACTTTATTTTCATTCTTAACGCCAGTAAACAGTCAAATTTGGTAACAAAAAATCATTATTTCGACTTTCATGGCGTCAAAATAAAGTCACTTTGACTTTCTCTTGAGTTGGTGTGTTCCTTGAGTAAAAGTCACTTTTCAATCAATCACAATTCATTTTAATATCATTTTGACACGTTATTGTGACTTGTCCTGCTTTGGGACACACGAAGAGTTACAGAGACCCAAAGATACGTTGTTCCTTCGTCGCGACGGTCACTTTGTACCTGCTTGCTGCCTGCCTGATCCTACATACGACACAACTCCCAGTCTCGCGTGGCGGCGTTTACATACCATATAAACATATACGAAACACAAAAGACACCCATACAGCACGGAAACTTGAGACAATGGCTACGTTCAGTATTCACCATGAATACTGAAAATCTACAGTATACGTAACGTAAACTAGAGATTATTAGTATTACCAGTGAACAACGGACTGCAACTACTGCAGTAACGTTTTCAATGTTAACACTGCAATATTGCAACGTTACAATGCTGCTGCAATATTGCTGGAGCGATCTGTGCTGTCTGGGCACACACACACACACACACACACACACACACACACACACACACACACACACACACACACACACACACACCCACACGCGCACACACACACGCACACACAGCCTTTTTACTCCGCTCGACGATTGATAACGTCCAAGCATGTCGCGTGTATTTCGTTGTGATAATCTGACGCGTTGCGAAAATCATTTCTCCACGTACGTCGAGAATCGAGCTGATTTGCCATTTGTTGTTCAGTCCCATCGTCGATTTTTTTCGCGATGGGGAGAAAGAAAGAGAGGGAGAGAAAGAGAATGAGAGAATGAGAATGAGAGAGAGGGAGAATGAGAGAATGTAAGAGAGAGTGAGCGCAATTTTCCCGGAATGTTGATGATGGTTTCGACGGCTATTTCGACATCAATCCGCTCTTGGCGTTTCCGCGTTTCGAAATTCGGGCGGTCGCGAAGAATCTCGATCCTCTCACGTTATTACTGCGTAATCGCCTGACGAGAGATCGAGTAATCGAGATCGAGTACCCGAAATCAGGAAATTTCGGAACGAGGACGACGCGTAGATGTGGCACGTACGTGCTAGATTTTACTAGCGGAAACGAATAACGATAAAGGCTCCATCTCTTGTAATATTTTTATTATCGCAAGCGTAATATTATATATATTATATATATAATTAAATTATATTATTAAATAAAGGAATTATGCCACTGTTTATTATTTATTGACTAACGTTCGACTAATATTGTAAATAATAACGAAAATATTTTATCTATATTTCCGATCTCCGGGGGGCGCCGGGCGGGGGTGGCGTATTATCTCTTATCCGCCTTCGCGGCGATCATTAACGGTCGTCGTTTCGCCCGCCCCTCTATTGTTACACCATTTCATCACATTGCATTTAATAAATTATATATTTATTGACTCATACTTACTTTTCACTTGCCCTACTCACCTTTTTACTTGTCTCACCCCCTTCCTGATCTACTTATTTTTCTTGCGGCTCTTCTCCGAAACATTTTAGATGACACTTTGATAATTATCGCTAATGTTCAGGTAATTATAAGTTTCAGAATATTTACAAATAATAAAGTAGGATGCGCGGTCATAGTAAATCCTTTAGTAAATTACGAGAAAAATTATACACTTTGTTAAAAAACATTGTTGGAAAATAGAAAAATTGAGTGTTGGAGAGATTACGTTGTGAACAATTTTCCTTCGTTAATTAAACCGTAATAAAAGAATGCGAGAGCTGATTTAGTATGAACACCGGATATTGTAGTAACGTCTGGACCAGGATATAGCGAATAATATAATTACGGCAAGTTAAAGGAATATCCGAGCAAATAATGATCTTAGAATACGTCGTAGAAGTTGCTTGTAGAGCTTCTATTGATACTAAGACAAACTTCCAGTTCCAACTGCTTATTTCTCTCGAGTGGAGTACCGAACCAAGACTTCGCGAACCGCTAAATTTAACGATCGTATTCATAGTACAGAAGTAATAATCCTTTCTCGCTTTATCTAAACTGTCTGTACTGTTTCACAGAGAACGCAAAAAATAATACATCCCGAAGACCAAGAGGTTCAGAAAAGATTTACCTTGTCGTCTTCCTTCCGCAACAGTTTATTTAAAGCATACAAACGGTACAAACTTTATTTACTGTCACTTTGCATATAAATTAAATTAAGTCGCTCGGATATCGTGCGTGTACGAGAAGGAGATAGACAGGCAGGAGAGATAGCGGATATGAGATAGACAGGGAAGAGACAAACATGGCCGTGCGTATTTTTCAAAGCAGAGAATCGACCGGGGTTCAAAAGATTTTCTCCGAGAATTTGGACCGCTCGCTGCCGAGCGATTCTATTCACGCGTCGTTGCGCTCGTCGATACGATTGCTATTCTATTTTTTTCTTTTCAAGCTTTTCTCTCTGCCATTCCGTCCGTTTCGTTATTTCTTTCATCCTATATCACGTCGTGCACGCGAGTATATGAATCCAATATTCGTCAAAGTGACACGAGGAACTATCCGCGGTAAACCGCAGAAAAGCAATGGCAGATCTACGTGTTTCGCAATTCGAAACGCGGGGAGATTGGCTTGTGTGTGTGTATTCGGCAATTTTTTAATAATAAAGAAATTAGCTCGAAACAGAAAATTCCTGGTATTTTCTATTCTGTCAATTTCCACCAGCGGTTCCAATGATCGCAAAACGAGAAAAATAGAAAGAGGGTAAATAATCATCAAAATTTATGAGCTTTCTCTCAAATTGTTCATTACATAATAAATCAATTCTGTGTAAAAATAATATTAGTAAAGACAAATTATTTCATTAATCTCAGCAACGGAAATACTAAATTCAAAATTTCACGCACATCACAATCAGAGTTAATTATTTATAATTAATATATATGCAATCTGTGATAAATAATCGTTTTTGTTTTTACGACAATAGATTTTTTTTTATTCATGGAGAGGTGAAAGTCATCACTTTGCAGCGGAGACTATTTTCGCGCTTCATTTTGTTAGACTACATGAATGCGATGAATTTATTATGTTCAGATAATGAAAGTTATTTTCTAGACAATGAAGAGTGAAATAAAATATAACAAGCTTCACAAGATTTACACGAGAGAGTTTCCAATTATCTCAGCGGTAAATAAAAAAAGTCTATGTTAATATTTATAGCGAATGAATGAAACAGACTATGTGTGTAATAACATCTCATCTTTTAATTTAGAAACAAATTTAATAAAACATGTACAAAAAAATCTATTAAAAATCACTAAATTGAAAAATCCAATATTGAAATATATTTTTCGAAATATTGTATATATTAATTTTAATATAAAATTACCATACCACATAATTTACCCTCTATAATAAAATTATGTTATTTCCTTCTTATTTTTTTTTTCGATTTCGAGCTTTGCTAAATATTCATTAGCAATTTTAGATTGAAAAGTCTGTGCAAATAAACTATTGGAAATTATTGGCATTCGACTTCGCAGATATTTATTTCAGACTTGTACACATTAATGTATTCTTTTATCCAAATATGTTGTCTAAAAATATATTTTCTAAATATTTGCTCATCATTAAAAGTACTAGGGGAAAGTGGGTGAATTGTGCGCATCTAAGAGAAATTTATTGTCCTAGAATGGTTTTCCAAGTTCAAAGCGATACAAGTATGGAAATAGAAACTATAAACATTCTTCTATCATTACGTATCCTCATATTGAACAGATTTTCATTCAATAAGGTTGTATTTAACCAAAAAAAAAAAAAAAAAAAAAACGGAAAAGCGAAAAAATTTCTCGCGCGTCGGATAATTGTGCGCAAAACAAAAGTTGTAAGAAATAAATGAATTGTGGAATGTTGACAAAGAAATCAGAAAATATATATATTGCAATATAAATATATATTTAATATCTTTTAAATATATATTATATATATTAAGCAAAAATACAAAACTAATATAATAATAATGCACATAGACTTTGGCAAAATAAAATGGCAAAATAAAATAATAATGCAAAGAAAAAACGAAAAAATTAGTGCTAGTCATATAATATTATATATGAAAGATGGGTAATTGTGCGCATTTCGAAACGCCTCCGCACAGTTGTCCGCCACGACCCGACTCGATATGAAATACGATTACTGCAATATTTCTTAACCAAACTTAATAAATAACAGCTCAAAAGACGCACATAATAACTTATTTTAATAACGTATGCAACTTTAAACAAACAAATTAAAAATACGGACTTACCACCTTATTTTCTGAATGCTAAAATAACAAGAAAAGATGTGATTTTACTTTTTTGTATTTCTCTGGATAGCAACGTATTTACGTTGTATCATATTTTGTAGTTATATCTTAAGAGGACAACATCCTGCGTAAAAATTTCAGCACAGTGATGTCTTCATCCATTGGAAAAGTACCAAACCAGGATGAGCACAATTACCCGCAGCGCACAGTTTCCCCACTTTCCCCTAATAAACGCAAATATCGGCCAACACGATAGGTATCCGTTTGCTAAAAGATCAGAGTTCCTTCAGTGTTAATAATCGACGAACTCAGAATACTTGAACCCGGTGATTCTCGCGATCGCAAACAACGATGTTGCCTGTTGACGTGACGGCGACACCCTCGAGACCTTTGAATTCACCATCGCCGCTGCCCCAACAGCCGAAGGACTTGAGGAAAGCGCCGTCGGGGCTGAAAATCTGTATACGATTGTTGCCAGAGTCGGCGACGATGATGTAGCCTTGATCGTCAACGGCGACACCCCGCGGAAACTTGAACTGGCCCTCGTCTGAGCCCTCCGAGCCGAAGGACGTCAACACGCGGCCATTCACGTCAAATATTTGCACGCGGTGATTGTTGCCATCGCTGACGATCACTCGATTGGTATTGCTCACCGCGATGTAGTGCGGGTGTTCTAACTGGCCGCGTCCGCTACCGCACGAGCCGAACTTACCCACAAACGTACCGTCTGATTGAAATACCTGCGAACAGTCAGGTATTCCAAAGTGGTCAAATAGTATTACTGAAGCTAGCTTAAGATGCAGTGCTTTTAATAATCACAATTCATTCTCCGGAGCTGACATGGATCAATTGGACCTACTCAATTATATCTTTCAGCACCTGATGGTGGATCTATTGACTTACTGCAGTGATTGTTTAGGCAACAAAGATTCTAAAAGTAAAATAATTCAATTTTCTTTGTAAAGTAATGTTAATATAAAAATAGTTATAATTATCATATGTGGATTTACTATTAGTTCTTAATTCTTGTATCATTACAGCAATTGCCATTTTACATAAAAATATCAAATAATTTAATTTTTTGTTACATTTGCAAATTCGCTTATTATTAAAATAAACTTAATATTTAGTGTCTTTTATTATATTTTATTAATATTTAGTGTCATATTTTGTTCCTTGAAATCAATTACTACTTTTTAATCAACACATATTAAATGGGTTTCATAAACCAAGTGTCAGTATAACCATGTTATAGATTTTTGCATTCATTCCGGTGAATTAAAGAGATAAAACATTGAAATTTATTAAACTTATTTCTCCTCGCTGTCTGCAATTTTATCTTATCTGATAATATTATCAAGAAAATATTTCCGAGTGAGCAAAATAGAATTTTATGTTAATCAACATTCTTTCAAATGATTAATTAGCTGACTGACATTTATTATTCGATTAGCTCTGCAATAAGGTACGCACCTGCACGCGGTGATTCTCCTTGTCGCATACGTAGATGAATCCGAGGGCGTCGGTGGTGATGCCCCACGGATAATTGAATCGGCCATCAGCGGTTCCCTGAGAGCCGAAGGCCCGTAGGAAGCGGCCGGATGGATCGAGCACCTGGATCCTGTGGTTGTAGCGGTCCGCGATGATGTACTGCCCGATCCGGTTTACAGCCACCCCGGCAAGGCAATCGAACTCACCCTCGTTGCTGCCGTACGTTCCGAACTCCTTTATGAAGTTCCCATTACCGTCGAATACCTGCGGACCGAACGGTACACGGTCGTTTACGTCGAGGGCCGATACTAAAATCGGCCGACCGCAATAACCAAGACTAGGACGAGGAATTTTTTCCCGCATCTTATTTACGGTTGTCGATATTATGCTGGCGCTCGTAAAATCCTTCATACTTCAGCTTTATGAACTCATATCGGGTTAACTATTATTGCTTTAAGCGACGCGATTGATTTATCGAGGCACACATATTGTCGATATTGAATTGGAGAAATTACTGTGCGGCAGAACGAGTCAGAATTACAATTTTTTTTACAAATAATGTAATTTTCTATCAGTTTTCTAATAATTAATAGTTTTATCGTTGAAAGTTTATTACACCAATTGATCTGTCAAATAATTTCACTTCCCGTATTTAATATTGTATTTAACTCTAGAACGATAGTATGTAAATTTAATGTGCAAGTGAGCGACTAAGTTGTGTATTAGTTAATCATCAAGAGGTCCAATCTATTAGGCTAAAAGCTAGGATAAGCATTAAAAAATTCCGTCATCAGTTTGTATCCCTGGTGATCAATATTATAACAGATCATGATAAGTGATTTCAATTTTTAAGCAGTTTTGTGTTATATATTTTATTGATGAAAGTTATGCGGAGACACACATTTAACACATATTCCGTATCATTTCAAAATTTGAGCGTGCTTGTTCTTCCTTTCCTTTTAAGTTAATAATTAAGTTGTATCTATAATAAAGGTTTACATTATAAATATAATATCTTGTTATTAAAACGTATGGAAATCTTCTGTTAATTAAAAGTAGCCTATTTCCTCTGACGTAAAATTTATAAGGTATCAATTCACATTCTAGTCGAGATAAGCAGATGTTCAATTATGATGACTGGAATTCTGATTGATATGATCAGAATCTTCTGATTCGTCTATTTTCAACTAGAAATTTTTCTCAGTGCAGCAATACTCTCAATAACGTTGTATGGTTAAACGTGATTAAGGACGACCAATTTTGAAATTAGAAGAACGACTTACTTGAACACGATGGTTGGAGCTGTCGGCCACGACGATGGAGTTGTCCGGGCCGACCGCGAGGCCTCTCGGCCAGGTAAAGCATCCGGCTTCGCTCCCCCGCATCCCAAACTTAAACAGCTGCCGCCGCTTCAGCAAGTAATGACTCCTCCGACCATTGCTAGAATCAATTAACGAACGGTCAATAAAGCTCATTACGTGAAGATTTTCCATCTTCCGGGCAGTTATGAATCTCTCCAAAGAATTGTCCGGTCGCATAGTTAATCATGCGGTTACGCGCAAACATTCACATGATGAACGTAGTTATTCTTCATCTAATAAAACTCCCGAAACCCTATTGTATTAAGAAAAGTTTGCGAGAAGAGGGGGAGAGAGAAAGCGCAAGGGAGGAAGCGAAAGAAGCAAACTCGGATATAGTGGAGCTCTGTATCTTCATTGTGTGTGACGCTGTTCTTAGAGGAATGTTTTTCGTAAATCCACTTTTCAAGAGAGACGCGATGTTTCACTCCAGTAGAAACAGCGGTAGATCTTTGAGAATTATGGCCGCGAGAGAAGTCCCGGGGAGAGCAGCGCAGCAGATAACGAGGATAAAGTGTTTTGATTGCAATGGCTGGTTTCTCGCCGACGGACCTCTCGCAGTTCAAGCGCATGCTTGTCCGTGGAATATTTAGAAAGCCACATGCGTTCTTTCTAACAGGTAGTACCTCTCGTCCTTTCTATGAACTAGAGGAAAAGCAGATTACAGGGAAACTTGCTTCTCTTACTCAGATACAAGTTTCGCCAATAGGAACAGGAAAGCCGAGCAAAACTTCGCGGCTCGCATTCAGTCGTTTTCTAAATTGAATCTCGCGAAGATACGACGCTTTCATTCGTAAACTTTGAAGAAAACATTTGTAATGTCGTAAAAAAGAAAATTGAGACGCCAGAATTGTCAAATTGTCTTGTCTCTTGTTTTTATATTGTCTTTTACGTAACGTAATTATGTAAGTAGATATTTGAGATGCGCTTTTACGTCATCTCCTGTGTCTTTACGTAATTTAATGTGATTAAGACTTACCTAGTGGAGGAACCTGCTGCCGCGGGTATAACGGGAGCTGCTGTAGGGGACGTGGGGGAGCCTGACGGGTTTTTTTGGTCGTCGTCGGAAGATTCAAAGGATGTTTGCCCGGTGTGCCTTAAAGGCAAACCTAACGACAACCTTCGCGAAGCCGCGCTGGTGCTGAAGAAATTATTTTGACATTCGTATGAAATTTCGTATTTGCATTGACAATGAGAGAAAAGTATTTATTATAGTATTTATGATTATCAATTTGTTCGCGTTGCCAAGTTATTCATCGTTATTTTGATGCAGTCATTTGACGTTAAAATGATGATAAACGACATCAGCTTATTTCTTAGGAAGATTTATTTACGGGAAGAATTCATCACATTTAGATTTTCATAAAACAAGTCCTTTTGACTGTACAAAAATAACGTGCCGTGACGTTTTCAATATCAAATATGAAAAAACAGAGTCAGCAGAAAAGCATAAAATATAGATTTTACCAATGTTATCAAAATCTTGTTTATAGTTACAACTGTTATAATGTTAATTGTAATAATTATATTTTTATAGTAATATTTATATTCTACCAAAAATATATAATTGGTACCAAAAACGACTGATAAATTACAACTAAATTATAATAATTATAAATTTTTCTCTCTTAGCATATTAAGCTTGCCATATTAATCTCTGATAATAATTAATTATGGATATAATCGGATCGCTATTTCGTTTTCTTTCATAATAGTAACGTTCTGTATCATGCTGCATTAAACTAGCGCATTGACGTAATCTGCAATAAATATGGTGATATGCCTAATAATTACATTGATTCCAATGCGTACATAATATTCTGAGCCATTGTGCGTACAATGCGATTAAAGCTTTATTGATACTATACGTCATTGTATATTATGCTATTTGCAATGTGATTCGTAATTTATATTCATTATGTGGAAAATAGACAATTAATTACAATCGTGCGTGGGGGCTTCGTCAAATACATGTTTACAACAAACATGAAGCTCCGACAAATTTCAAAGATCGTGCTCGCTCTCTGTTTTTCCACGTTGCGTCTCGTATTCGCTCAGTAAAAATTCTGTACTCGAGCCCACCTGGACGAAGGTATCGTGGAGGACGAGGAGGGCGGTTCCTTGTCCTTGGTGGTGCGGTTACCGTATTTATTCTTGAGGTATCTGGCCCAAGAGCTCAATGCCGCGCCATCCTTTTCCGTGCCCGGTCGATCACGTTCCGGGCTCGGCTCTCTTGACTTTAGGGCGTGGGTGCTGCGACTCCGTGCCAGTTCGGAGCCGGCGCCGTACTTCGCCGCCAGGTAAGCATTCGGCGACTGGGTTGTTGGGGACGGTGGTTCTTCGTCCAGGTCAAGGTCGTCGCCGCCAAAATTGTGCGAGCTTCTGGAACGGGCAAGACGTTGTCGGCGTTCCTTCAAAGCTGCGTAGCGAGATCTCGTCGACAAGGGCGAGTCGATCTCCGCGTCCACGTCTCGGTCGCGTTCTCGCTCGCGCTCGCGCTCTCGCTCTCGCTCGCGTTCACGTTCACGTTCGCGTTCACGTTCACGTTCACGTTCGCGTTCACGTTCCCGTTCGCGAGATGCCATCATTGCCGCCTGACTCCTGCTCTTGTTCAAGAATCTGAAACATCAGGCAAACAACCCGCTCAGTTCATCTGCATTAAGAATTTTTTCATTTTATGTTAATACCGCGAGATGGAATTATTTTACTCTTGCAAAAATATCTTTACGGTAGATACGAAAACAATTTTACGATCTTTCAGTCTTTGAGAGAATAATTTATCTGTTATAATCAATTTTAAGATAGCCAAAATTTAAGATAAAAAATTATTAATTTAATTTTTTCAAACAACACATCTTGAGCATTAATTATAAAAGTTGCGGTTTAAAATTTGATAAAAGATTCTTTATGGCGTATAGCTATTTATACAAAAGCAAACTTCCATTTGACACGTACGCATTTAATCTAACAATAACATTTATACAAGTAATTACTGTAAAATACTAGCATAATTAAGCAGCAATGAAAGAGTAGTATTTATAATCTTGTCTTATCTTCTTGCATCATATATTTACTAGATGTGGACTGTCTAAGCACAATAGGTTCGTTGTTAATTGTAAAAATGTTAAAACAACAATTAAGTTTTCTATTATCACGTTCTCTAAAATATTTTTGTTAATGTATCTATGAATGGATATTCGAATTACCCCGAACGTTTCTCAAATTTTTGAAACATCAACCGATAATCCAATTAATAATACAGTCAGTTTTTAGTTTCTTCATATTTTCTGGCGATCAAGTTTCTCGACAGAATTTTTTAATTATTCTCGAGTACCCTATTTTTCTTGCTCGATCTGTACCGCGATCATTCAAGCTGAATTCAAGTAGATTTTAGGTAATTGCCCTAAATATTGAAAGGTAGGTGAGAGTGCTTCGACCCCAACACGCACATAGGAAAGACGATACCCATCGTGAGAGCGAACAGTCTCTGCGGTCGTATTTTCGAATGAGACCTCGCATCGGACTATTTTGGTGCATGCGTACCGCGTAGTGTAGGTTGCGGTGTGCAAATGGACGCGCTTATGGACGCAATATCATATAACTAAAACGTTTATCGGTGAACACGACCAAATAGAAAATCTATATCTTGTTTTAATTGAAAAAGTCTTTCAAAGTAAAAATGGCCGAAAGAAGTGCCTCGCCTGTGCGCCTTGCACATTTATCATTATAACTGCACTAATTAGCGGTAATTTTGTTATACATTCATGAAGACAAAGGGTGTGTATACACACACACACACACACACACACACACACACACACACACATCAATATATACATATATACATACACATATATATGTATATGGGTATTCATTGGAAAAAAAATACTCGACATTCGGAGGAAGTAATTCATTGAAAATTATGTCCGTAATTATTGCCATTTTGCAAAATTAGTACTATACTGATTAAACCCCAGTACGCCGTAAATAAATAACAAATGACGTATTTACCAATTACCAACGTACTACATTAAACTTATTTTGTATAGTGCCCGCAGGAAACGCTATTTATGCGAAACTGAGGCGTGCGCACTGCACGCGAATATTAAAAGACACAATAATACACAGGCGTGTCGTAAATTGCATACGCTAATGAGTTCGGGGGTAACACAGTAACGAAGTTAAGGAACTAACTGCTTTTCATGTACATGTTGGTAGACTTTGTGTCGGTACTATTATCTCGTTTATAGGATTAAGCTTATGAGAACGAGATTTGCATTTGATTGTCCGCGAATCTATTCATTGTCCGTGATATACAAAATTCTTGCAATCTCGAGTTGTTGTACAGAAAGTGTGGGCGCATCAACGTCATGTCAGATGACTTTGCGGATTCACATAGCGTATACAAACGACAAATAATGAGGGCACACAGGTAATGCTTTGCGAAATACCTGTTGAAGTTTTCCCTCTTATCGGTCAAAGCATTATTACAGATATGGAAAATCATTATTATTACATAACATCATCTCGAGTATATTAATTCAACGAGATAACAATGAAATAAGCTGCGAGATCAGTATAATTAATTTCTATGCTAATTGCGTCTGAAGTGTGGTCTGTACACTTGCCGGAAGCGTTCATCGTCAGTGAGCAATTTATACTAGAAGATGTCATTACACTTGTCGGATCGTGACACTGCGGGTTTTTTTTACGCTTTTGGCTTTAATTTGAAAAAAAGATCTAATGCTTACGAAGCAGCCACTGATCTGATTCGATTCCAGCTCCATGGATGAGTGCAACTATCGGGAACCACCGATGTGCCGCACTTTTTATCACAGATTCGTGAGACATCCTGTATACATGACTACGGTGAATATGCAGATAAGTATTTTACTTTATGATTTGTCATGCACATTATTCTCGTAAGCATTATTATCGAAAAACGAAAGTTAGAGCTGCTAATTACAAGACAGGAAAGTTGGAAAGTAGTACGTTAATTGTAGCATCTTTATAAACGTTTTTTTTCTTCTAACAATAACAGTAATTATCTGTAACACTATTATATTTTTATAGTAATAGTAACGAATTCAATCGTTAGTTTTATCTTGTTATTTTAGTGTTTATTATCTATATTTGCGGGCGCATCTATTTTTTTTAATTACAATGTAAATTCTTAAAGATAAGTAAACTAAAAATAAAGATATTAATATGAAGAATCAGAAAATTTAATATAAAGAAAAGTTTGCTATGTAGAGATTAGTTATAAATTTTAAATTTTAATGCTCATTATTAAATAATATAATTTTAAAATTTAATATTCTATTTCAGTATTACAAATAACAAAAAAAATAATGACTCGTTATCTTCTGACAAGTAACTCTATCCAACTGTCACTTACCAATCTGGATGAAACTATGCACACTTGTTTTTGAAAAATATTGAACCCGTGTTTTTTTATGTTTCCCCAAAATGAATTTTAAGGGTTGAAACCACCTCTCAACGTAAAAAACGCTGAATATTGGTTTTCAATAATTTTTTACTCAAATACTATCAATTTTACAAAAAAACTACAAGAGATAAAAATTGTTTATTTTTTTCTCATAGAACTCTAAGAATTTTTTCAGAATTTTTTTATATCAATTTTTAATATCAACTTTTTAGTACTGCATTTTCTTATTGGCAACTATTTTTACCAACACGAGAAAATACGGTATTAAAAAATTCTGAAAAAATTCTCAGAACTTTATGAGAAAAAAATAAACAATTTTTGTCTCTCGCTGTTTTTCTGTAAAGTTGATAGTATTTGAGTAAAAAATTATTGAAAACCAATATTCAGCGATTTTTAGGTGGTTGAGGGGAGGTTTCAACCCTTAAAATTCATTTCAGGGAAAAATAAAAAAACACGGGTTCAATATTTTTCAATGTTAAACAAGTGTGCATAGTTTCATCCAGATTGGCAAGTGACAGTTGGTAGTGTTACTTGTAAGTAATAGTAACGCACTTCTTTTTAAAACTAGTTCCGAGAAACGATAATGCATTATTTCTTATAAAATAACGTCCTTAATCCTGTTACAAGATAATTGGAAAATTTGAAAAGAACTAAACATATTAATGAAGTTACTTAAGATTTAAAATATTAAGCAATGTTTAGACTGTTTCAGACTTTATCTCGTTAAAATTTTTGATTGTGAATTTGTTTCGACATCTAGCATACAAGACTCTAATCATGGTACAGACACTAACAGCTCTTGTAAATGATTATTGTTGATTAACCACAAATAACTAGGGAAATGTAAATCTCATTGTATTAAACTGTAATTAACATCCCGGGGCAAAGTTGGTGTTGCGTAGAGTGGCGCGAAGTGGATGAAATTTTCGGATTGCGTCAAACAATGTTTGTGTAGATTCGCTCGAATTTGAGAAAGTTCATGAATGTCCGCAAACTTCGGTATAAACATAGTTTATCGCACGCCCGGTTTGTATGACTTTGCACTGAACCTCTCCCAACTAAGTTCGTATTTCGCTCATATTAGGTCGGGTCCCAGTGCATCGGTAGAACCTACGTGTCATGAAGTAAGAAGTTTCCAGTTTACGAAACTGGTAGATCAGATTGCGTCGTGGATCGATGATTCTACATTTCTCCCAAACGGTTGTGTAGGAGCTATGAAGTTTTGACAGTGTCGATTCGTTATAACGGCGAGCGGGGTGCAACGTGCTAAGAATATCGTCTAACATTATGCAGTAATCCATTTTCGACGACGCAAGTCTATTTTTATAGTGGAGGTTATATTGAAGAGGTTCGACTATATTTTTACTGTAGAGTTTAAGAAAAAAACAATGTAGTCTCCATTTGAAATAAAATATAATAAAGTTAATATCACAAATAAAGTTTTTAATGTCATCATTAGAACTGTCTCTGTTATTAAAAAATATATCTAAAATTTATATCGAACATATTAATTATAATCTAAATGATATTTTAATTAGTTATTAATTATCATGGAAATTTTTTAAAAATTATACAACTGTTTGATATTTTAATTTTTACAACAAATTATTATTCGCAAAAATAACGGAATGCGCGACCGAATTGCATAATGGAGAACTGCAATGAATTAGTTACAAGTTATATTGTATAGTGTGAAGTACACAGATTTTTCTATGGAGTTTCTAAGTTTGTAGCGAATTTTCCGAAAAATAATTCTGCTATCGAAAAGCAATCCATCCGAAGGAATTTTCTTTGTATTCCATTTCCTTTATACCTACTTGTAATCGATCCAATGTTCTACTACTTGACCATATTCTTGAAATAATGTTTCAGTAGAAATGAGCACGCATGCGTTTTGAAGAGTGCACAAAGAAATTGATGTCATAAATTAAAACGTCATGCAATATTGTGAAACTTGTGTCTGAAACGCTATTCAGTGTAAAAAAGCGAGAAAGGTCTGTTTGTAGATAATTATATCGCAAATTAGCAAGAATTTCACGAAACATTCAGAATGAATCTCAAAAGTGATTCTTATGCAACGTAACCATTTCACCTCTGTTTGTTATTTTGTTGTAACGGGGGAAGATTTTAAATAGATGCCAAAAAATGGAATTACATCACAATATAATGTTAAATCGTTACATGTCCAAAGAAATAAAAAATTAAAAAGAAAATCACGTATCAGAGAAATAATAACGGTCCGTTAAACATCAAAGGAACAATAGCCTTTGAGTTAAATAACATTTATTTATTTTTAACTGCCATGTCAAAATGTAAATCAATTAATTTCTGTGGTTGAATTGCTTAGTTTTAAAATAAACAATGTATTAATGTATAAAATGGTAAATAATAAATTAAATTTGAGTCAAATTCTTGAATTGTTTGAGTTTTAGTTAAATTTCCATTGTTTTAGTTAAATTAATGATATATTGAATAGAAGCAGTGGCGATCTATAGAAATAATTAAAAATATCGAAAATTCAATATAATTTGACATTATGAATTTAACAGTTATTTATTTGTCGATAAATGCGCCTTTAAATGTGTATTTAGCATATATGGTGTATGTTACTACAAAATATATATACTATAGAATTTAAAAAATAAGTAAACGACTATTGAAAAAAGTTAGGTATAATATGTTTAGGTACGAATGTGGACCAACATCGCGAGATTTAAATGCGCATAAAGATCACTTTTTGAAAAACATTCCGATAATGAATAGGTATAATCTCACGCTCGAAACACGAATCTGGACTGCCGTTTCCATCTGTCGATCATCGACGTCCATCAATCAATAACGATACGATCCTAGCGTACAATTTGTTAGTGTAATAAATAAATATGCATTCTTCTCGTACTTATCGTATCCCGTTCTTTGGTATTTCATTGATGACACATATGGACAGGGACAGTAAACATTATTGGGGACTAGAGAACGTAAGAATCTGAAATATTTCGGGACAGAAAGTGAAAGGTGATAGAGGAAATAGTGGACATAGCTAGGAAAAAAACGAAAAAATGGAAAAACTGGAAAAAACTGGAATTACACGAACAAGATTTGCAGGAGGGATCTGATACTTTGTATTTATTATCGCGTTGATACTGAGGACGGTTGAGAGGGAAATAAATAATACGAGTTATCACAAAGAAATGCAGTTTATTTACCACACCGACAAACTGTGACGTAAGCCTATTCGCTATAAGGAGAGAGTACAAAACTTATGATAGATAACGCGACGCGCGTGCGGAGGCGGTCGATCCGCGGTGCCTGGCCACCGCGGATCGACCGCCAACGTCTGGCGTTTCTACCTCTTTTTCTTAGGTATGGCTTTAACAAGCTCAATGCGAAAGCGGCGAATTTAAGAATGGCTGCGTTCAGCAGAGAAAGCAGCTTTGCAACTATTGATAAGATTCTTTAACATCATTGGATCTTGTTTCTAGTTCCTCAAAGGATCTAAAAATATAAACCAACTATTGAAGAATCTTACAACAGCTACAAAGCTACTTTTTCGATTCAACGTAGCCAATGTCTCACTACCGAATCCCAGATAGAACACAAAACCATAAGAAGATCAAGATGACATCAAATAGAAGTCATTTCAAAGAAAATCATAATGATATCATTCAATACACTTTTGACGTCGATTTTGTTATCAATTTTTAACATGACAATAGTTTGTAAGTAATATTTTAGTTAATTAAAAAATTACTTAAAAATCATTTTCATGTTAAATTAATCACAAAATCATCGTTAAAAGTTTATCGAGTGATATTATTATAAATTTACCTAAAATGACTGCTATTTTATGTCATTTTGATCTTATGATTTTATGTTCTACCTGAGATGTGACAATAATATATGCGTGTGCGTTGCACTCGCAGGGCAAAGAAAACGCGAAGCTACCGTATTTCAGCAACGCGAGGTCACGCTTCGCGGATCGACAAATATAATAGGAACAATGGCGCTCGGCCGTAATTACGACTATCACAATGTATAAAAATGCAGGTTTACCGTGTGCATAACGTGGACAAATAGCTACGTTTCATAAATGTTCTCCGGCCGGCCTTTTTACGGCATCGGCCAGAGGAAACGCAAGATGCGTGAGTTTCGAGCAGCAGTCTCTCTCTTTTCGCGATTTATATTTCTCTACAATCTCATTATTTCCCTCAAATTTCCTATCGTAATATTATTAATCGATTAATTTTTTATGTTGTTTGATTCTGAGATGTTTAATTTCAAAAATTAATTAGAATATGATTATTTTCGGATATATTAATTGGAATTCGGATGTGTATAATGATATTCGTTAATACTCGCATAATTTGTTAAATACTTATAATTAGTAAGAGCTTTGAAACTATTTTCTTCTATTTCAATTAAGCAGTAAAAGAGCCAAACAATTTAAAAAGCTACGATATTTTCTACGAATTAAATATCATATAATCTACGAAATTTCTATAAATTATACGTCTTACGAAACAAATCAAAAGTCTAATCACAATTTAAACATAATATAAAGTTAATCCAGCAAACACCAGCAATAACATGTAAGTTATAATTTTCCACTCAACAATATAACTATAATATAATATGTTACATTACAATTATATTGTTGAGTGCGAAATTATGATTAATAGTTATGTTCCTGCTAATTGGTGTTTGCTGGGAACATTTTGGTGAAGTAAACGAGAGATGGAGTATTCCCCTCAGAAAACTGCTGCATCGTTACTCGCGGCAAGACAGTCCCGTCAATTACTGCGTAAGCTTGTGCAAAGTCCATGGTCTTTCATCCTGAATGCCGGATCCGAGACGACGCGGGAGACAAAGAGAAAGTGTGAGAGGACCCGGAGGATACTTGTATTTGCGTAACGTCAGGGAGAGAGCTCGACGGATTTAGGGGAACAGATTCGTTAGAATGCTGTAACACAGTACGGACACACAGAAGACGGTGGTTACCATTTGCATCGGTACACTCATACTGGCACCGGGCGTTTCCTCGTGCTCGTCGGGCCCTGACTGCTCGGTGCCCTTCGACCGCTTAACGTCCGCGACTAACGCACCATTCTCAATGTTAGTTTTTTTTGAGTCTACGAAGTCAATCGTTTGAGAACGAATCGTGTTTTCCTGCGCGCTGTTAGCCTCTACGAGCTCTTCGTCAAGCTCATCGTCGTCATTGTCGTCGTCGTCGTCGTCGTCAAGTATAACCCACCCGTTCTCGTCGATGTCGCCCGTATCTTCGATCCCGTCGAACCCAATCGCTTCGTTCGCGGACTCGGTTCTAGTGACATCTC